CTGTTTTGATTACAGTAGCTTTGTAAGATAGCCTGAAATCAGAAAGTGTGATGCTCCCAGCTTTATTTTTTCTCAACTAATTGCTTTAGCTACTCAGGATCTTTTGTGGTTCCATACGATTTTTAGTATTGTTTTTGCTATTTCTCTGAAAAATGCCATTGGAATTTGACAAGGACTGTAGTGAATCTATACATTACCTTGGTCGTACAGACAGTTTAACAATATTAATTCTTCCAATCCATGAACACTGGATGTTTTTCCATTTATTTGTGTCTTTTTTAATTTCTTTTACTAGTCTTATAGTTTTCAGTGTATAGGTCTTTCACCTCTTGTAAAATTTATTCCTAAGTATTTAATCATTTTTGATGCTATGGAAAATGAGATTGTTTTATTTATTTCTTTTTCAGATATTTCATTGTTAATGTATAAAAATGCAACTAATTTTTGTATATTGATTTTGTATCCTGCAACTTTACTGAATTTGTTTATTAGTTCTAACAGTTTTTTAGTGGGGTCTTTAGGATTTTCTATCTATAAGAGCATGTCATCTACAGAGACAATTTTACTTCTTCATTTTTGATTTGGAATGAATGAACAAACATCTTTGGCAAGGAGACAACTTTCGGGGTGCCACCCCCATACTTTTCCCCCACCCATCAAATCTATACAACATGGGCTCTGATGAGAGACTTCTGCCCTTTGGCAGCCCCTTCTTCAGCATCCTGTTCCCCTTTGGTTTCGCAACAGAGGCGTAAGGCCATTTATCTTTCTTGGCCATTGCTATAGACTGAATGTTTGTGTTCCTCCAAAATTCCTGTGTTGAAACTTAATCCCCAGTGTGTTGGTATTTGGAAGTAGGGCCTTTGGGAAAAGATAAACATAGGGTGGAGCCCTCATGAATGGGATTAGTGCCCTATGAAAGAGACCCCAGAGAACTTCTTCACCCTTTCCAGCATGTGAGGACACAGTGAAAAACAGCCATCTATGGACCAGGAAGTGGACCAGACACCAAATCTGGAG